CAACTGCCTTTGGTGAGTGCTGAGATTCCATTGCGTTCTCCCCAAACCGCTGCACTTGCCATATTTGCCCTATACTGCCAATACTCACACACTCGCTGCAATCCGACCTGTGACAGTGATGCCAGCACCACCCGGCTTCAATTCAATCTTGGGATAGCCTCGCGGAGCTGTTCGGAACTGTTGGCAACCGATTTCTGCAGTCCCTAACATCGTCAAGCAGCAAGACTTCTAGCTTGCTGTGCGCGCAGCAGGAATTCCAATTCCAGAATCTTGAGAATGCAGCGTATCGTAGATGCCCAAAGATGAAGCCAGGAGAAAGACAGGGAGAAAGAGAGAAGAAAAATAATGGCAAGCAACAGGAACAAGGGAGACAGCGAGAGTCGAGTACAACTCCTGCTTTTCAGGCTTGCGAGGTTCATTGCTTTTTGGGCTTGCGTGAACAAAACCCAACTGCCCAGCCTGGAAGAGTAAAGTCCAAGCACAGCTCTGCCACTTTGCTGCTGTCCATGTCACGGATATTCACCAGCGATGAATATAACTGGCAGTCATGCACGAATTTGCGATTGACCAGCACGAAGGTCAAGAACAACTGTCCAGCGACGACTGCTCAAAACACCAAGGAAACTGGGCAAAATGTGGGGTTCAGGAACATCCATCAAGCCTCCACTACCCGCAAGACTCGGGGACCAATTCTGTACCACACAATCGAGAACCAACAATTAAGTAGTAACAGGTGCCACGCTAGTAGTAAGCTGAGCTTCTGCACGGTTCCCAGGCCTCAGGGTCTACTGCTCGCAGAGATTCTTGTGACAAGGGTGCGAGGCCTGGCCGTTCGTGTGTTCCAAGGGCTGTGACCAAGTTGGGGCACCAAGACCCAAACTTATAATGGAAGGGACTGTAAGGAAATGTAAAGAAAGCGCTCTTGCTGAAGGAAGGAATCTTCTCTTAGTAAGCAGCAAAGGAGTAATAAAATCAATTCGTGCTGGATTTTGGACCCATAGATTGGTACTTCACCATCCCGGATGAAATTGTGTGATTTGTTTGTCTTTAAGACCTTCATGTCCCGAGGGCTGCACCCAGCACGGATCTCCAAACTGCAGGATGCAGCCTTGCGTCATGCAAAGATATTCCAGCAGCTTGCAGCCCTAAACAGCAAAACCAAGACGTCTTTAAGTGTTTAAGGCTCACATTTATCTATACATATGTAGCTTCAGATTGATACATGAGCTTGAGCTTTACAGACTAGTTCCAACTCCCACCTGTTCAAGTGGAATACAAACACTGATGATGCCCCCATCCGGCAGAACATCTCCACAGTTCTCCACTGTGACCCAAAAGAATCTCTCAAAACTCTTCCAGATTGACCCTTCAACCGTGAGCGCCTAAGAGATTTGAACAATTGAATTAAATTGATAATTCTGGTTGATCTTCGCGATGTCCTTTGTCTCGGCCCTCCCACTGGATGTCCACCAGGCGATTGTCTATGATGCACTTGGCCACGATCTGACCCAACAGCCTGTTTGAGGCCGCTCAACTGATTCTGATCCGAAGGGCCACTGGCACTGGGTACCATTTCAATTAGTGGATATGATGCAAGCGGTGACATGAATCCATATGCTATAACCCGGATCAACTAGAAACGCTTGGCATGAAAGCTCTCTCTTCGTGTGTGTGTGTGTGATCCTCGATTGTAGTGTCATGTACTCAATCATGTCGCCCAAAAGTTGCTCATGAATCAATGGCTGTGATGAAGCGTGAAAATGTTTGCGTCGGCCATTACCAAGAGATCAGGACCAACAAACATACCAGAGCAGGATTGATCTGGTGCTGATGTCCGTCCTGCCTAAATCTCTCCAGAATCTGTTGAGCAACCTGCCGTTGGCATGAAAGGCTGTGCTCCGATTTCAAGAACTGACCAAGTGTATGGTGGCCATCCAGTCTTCACCATCACGTCAACTCCTCGCTTTATGCGGTCGAGTCTTGCAGTGAGTCGGGAAGTGCTCAAACAGCTGCCTGGTCGTCAGCACTTCTCAGCCAGTTTGGATCCCAGGGTGCAGGGAAGAGCCTCAAAGAAACTGTTGGTCAGTGATATGTATCCTTCCACCCCACTTTCATGTCCATCTGCCAAGGCCTGTGCCGTTAAGGTCACTGCATGCTGTTCATCTATTTTGGCACCAAGTCTGCATGTAAGTCAGCCCCTCTATAATCCATCCAAGGAGCATTCCAGCAGGCACGTTCTGACGGAAAAGCGCCGGCGATGAGCTCCTGTTGCTGCTTGAAAGGTACGGCCAGTCTGTCTTTGCCCTTCAAGTTGTTCAGTGCAAAACCTTCCCGGGTTCTTTGCATTTTGTGTGTGTGCGCGCGCTTCAAAGCATGGAGGAAACTGCAGTGTCCAAGGCCTCAGATGTTCAGCCACTTGAGCGTAGAATTCCAAGGTGGGACCAGATCCAGTGCCCACCTGGCTATCACAATGTTGGAACTCAAAAACACTGGCGAGACTGGATACGCGGATTCGACACGAGCATTGCTTAAAGGCAGTTGACAATCACTACAATGCAAAGTTAGAACGCGCTTGGATGAAATCGGGGGAACCAAATTAGATCCATACTCGCCCATATTTCTTTGTATTCCATGATGTCGGACGGTGAGAATAAGGTTTACCTCCTGTGTTTGTGCAACACACTATTTCCACGGCCATGTCGCCTTCATGCTTCGTCTGAAGAGCAAAGGGTGATGCATCAAGAAACGAGAACTTAATCACAAAATATTCAGGCAGACTAAGGCTAAGACAGGATGACGGGGAACCATATGTCTCAAAAACAATCTTACCCAACCCGCACGCTGCCCGTTGGTGCCTCTCCAACATATTCAATCTCCAGCCTGAGGTACAGCCGCTTCATGCCGCTTCTAAGGCCTTCCTGGTCCTGTTTGCATTGGGCTGCCTGTTCGCCTGTTCATGTTCAGCTGTTCATTGCTGAAAGAGTCAATACTCTGATTGAAAATTGCAGGATGTATTTCAAAGCATGGCCTACCTGTACCATCTTTGGGCCTTTGCAAGGTAATCAGTGAAAACCAGTGCGACTGGGAAGTTCTCGCTATCTCACTGGGCAACCATGCAGCGCATTGCCAGAGGAGTAAAGGTTCATGACTTTCACCTCAGGAGAGAGGCAAAGTATTTCCTCTTCTCCACAAAGGTTTCGATGGTGGAAACCCCAAGGCCCTTTTCTTGCGGTCACAGACCACCCAAAGCAGTCCAGAGACAAATATATACGGCCCAAGTAGAAGTGACAGTGATGAAGAAGACAAAGTGTCCACAACACCCAATGGTCCTGGTCTTGCCCAACTCCAAGGCCCCCACGGCACTCTCCAAAAGCCGTTGCCGCGAGATGCGAACCTGGCAACGCACTCTATCATCCTTGACCGTTGAAGCAACATCTCCAATGCTCAACATGCAAATTAGGGAGATCAAGTTTACAAGCCTGTGGGGAAATTGAAAACTGTCAGCAAATACACGCAAAAACAAAGAGAGCACGCTCAAGGCAAATCCACAGCGCTTGCACGTATGGATGTCTTACTGCAATTCCACACAACATTGAAAACTCTCTCCAACTACCCATAGTAGGCCCTGGAGCAGATGCAGGGCCTTTCAAATCCAGGCCGGTGGTTGCTGGCGCAAAAAAGAACACATTGTTCCTGGCCCAGCCTTTTGGCGTGGGACACTGGCGACACTCACCTCACTCTCCAACCTGGCAAGAGCCGGAGCACATTTGGAGATTGTAGAACCTCCATCCTAATATCGATGGCCTCCAACCTGAGAGCAATGGCCTCCAACCTAAGAGTGGCCTCCAACCTAACGGCGATGGCCTCCAACCTAATTAAGAGTGATGGCCTCCAACCTAAGAGCGATGGCCTCCATCCTAATATCGATGGCCTCCAACCTAAGAGCGATGGCCTCCAACCTAAGAGTGGCCTCCAACCTAACGGCCCTCCAACCTAAGAGCGATGGCCTCCATCCTAACTTGAGGCCGAGGGTATGTGACGAAAGCTAGCAGGGGTGCATCCGGACTGGTGGGACATCAAGCAGATTGAGGCAAATGCTCATGAGGTAAAACGTTGTGAACATGTCAGACACACAAACAGCAATGACACAGCCAACCTTAGAATTGAAGTTCCCGATAATTAAGGAAGCGTGGCTGGACTTTGCCGCACTATTCGATGCATCCGATGTGTTTACGAACCTGTGAGCTTGTTGAATCTGTTGCACCATATCCCAAAACCTCCACGGAGGAGTTGAACCATAAGAGGTGCCCAAGAGGTGTCCCAGAGGCAAAACAAAGCTGCTTGCATGATTTACTTGGTTTCTTCTATCAATGTCGATGTCATGAACCTGTGAGCTTGTTGAATCTGTTGCACCGTATCCCGGAGGAGTTAAACCAAAGTGGATGCCATAAGAGGTGTCCCAGAGGCGTCCCAGGAAGGAGTTGAACCCACCGGGGGGGGGGGGCCCTACATATGAAGTTTTCACGTGATGCGGCGATCTCGAGGATTCCAGCCCCTCACTTGCTAAAGCAAGGACAACTCCAGCTAGCTGGTGCTAGCTTTCGTGATATCGATGACCTCCAACCTAAGAGCGATGGCCTCCAACCTAAGAGCCATGGCCTCCAACCTAACGGCGATGGCCTTCAACCTAATCAAGAGTGATGGCCTCCAACCTAAGAGCGATGGCCTCCAACCTATGAGCGATGGCCACCAACCTAAGAACGATGGCCACCAACCTAAGAGTGGCCTCCAACCCAAGAGCGACGGCCTCCAACCTAACAGCGATGGCCTCCAAGCTAAGAGCGATGGCCTCCAACCTAAGAGCGATGGCCTCCAACCTAAGAGTGATGGCCTCCAACCTAAGAACGATGGCCTCCAACCTAAGAGCCATGGCCTCCAACCTAAGAGCGATGGCTTCCAACCTAAGAGCGATGGCTTCCAACCTAAGAACGATGGCCTATGGCCTCCAACCTAAGAGCGATTGCCTCCAACCTAAGAGCGATGGCTTCCATCCTAAGA